AAGCCATATGATCAGTAGCACCAGAATCAACAACCCAAGAATGTTTAAAATCATTACATGAAGAAATGAAAGAATGAGTTTTGGAGCTCATACCAGTCATAGCCAAAGCACTAGTATCAGATGGCTTACTCAGATAATCAAGAATGGTTCGGAGTCGTTCCAACTCATCTGGACGAAATGCAGATTGGGTCTCATTAGGTGCAGGGGTTATTTCAGAAGAAGTAAAATGCGCTTGACCACGCATCCTTGCCATCTTTTCTAAGACAGTTTGCTTTCCATAAAGGCAAAAGCATAAATCCTTGATATGACCTGTTCTTTTACAATAAGAACACCATCGATCATCTCTCTTAGGTCTAGAGGAGGTACCATCATAAAATTTTGAAAAAGAACTCCTTTGAGAAGAGGCCATACTGCACAGAAAATGGTTAAAGAAAAGCTCTAAGAAGCCAAAAAATCACAAATAAATACCAAACGATGTCCGATCAAAGAGAGGAGCACAGATCCAGAAAGAGGATGAAGGGACGATCAAGATCGCGGTGGTCCAATCCGGAAAAATGGTCTCACGCGCCGCCACGCGCCGGTGAGATTGGCTGCGCGTGGGCTTCACTCGCGGTTGAAGGGGCGGCGCGTGCGGTGGCCGTCCGGTCTGAAATTTCTGGAGCAACGTCGTTCGGTGAGCACGGTTCTTTCTGGGTCTGTTCGGAGTTGAAAAACCACCGGGAAAGGGTCCAATCGTGATGAACAGATGCTGTCTTGTGATGAAGAATAATGGAGACGATGAACAGAAACAGAGATCCAGTATAACAGAGATCTTCTCGGTCCAAGAGGTCCCCGGAAAAAATCCGTTGGCGGCTGATGGCAGCGAGAGACAAAAAGAATAAAAGGTTCTTGTTCTAAAGACAATAGGCGCGGAAGCAGAGCCCTCAGGATCGAGAGCTCTGATACCAACTTGAAAGAAAAGAGTATTTGAAATATTATTGAATTGTAAATAATCTGTACAAAGGGTTCTCTATTTATAGAGAATACTTGACCTAATTTTGACCTAATGGGCTTGGCCCAATACAACAAATAAATGAATAAATAATAACTAATAACTAAATAATTATTATTTACAACATATATTTTAAATTAAATGTCATTAGGAAAGTTTATTGAATTTTGTATTGGTACTGTAACATGCAATCAGGACATTGTGATGTGCCTTGCAGGACCTTGGATTTATGTTACAAGTCTATAAGTGATAATTGAGACAGTACCAAATTAGGTTGATCTTCAGCTTATGTGTCTGGCACTTTGCAACTGATTTGTTACAAACTTCAAAACAAATTCGTGATATAAAATTTCTTCAAAACAATAGCATAATTAACAATTCCGTTAATGATTTTTATTAAAAAAAAAAATAGAAATAGTGAATGGTATAATTTTAATTTACTGTTTTTTTTAACGAATATAATTTAATAACAATGCTAAATTCTCAATAACTTTATCTAGGGATGCTGGTGTTGGGTTGTGATATCATTAGGGAACTCGTGTGTTATTATCTTATTGAAGCTGAATGCATTGGCACTGCTTATGTTCGCATGTTTGACCTTTGCAATTTTCCAGTCACTACAACATATAACAAATTAATTAAAGTTTAAAAAGGACAATCTGGTGCAATGAAGTTCCCAGCTCGGGGAAGGATCAAACCTATTATGTGTGGGTCTATAGTAGGGAGTCTTACCTTGCATTTGCAATGATTTATACCTGTGACCTCCAGGCCACCTGGCAACAACAACTATTGTGCCAAGATTCCCCTTCAAATTTATTGAAGTAATATTTTCTTATTTTTTCCTTACAGATGTATAGCAGTGGTAACCCGACAAACATTGCAAACCCCATTAAAGATGCTAGCTTTCAGGTTGATATCAAGACAGTTAGTGGAAGGTTGAATTTGTATCAAACTACTCTATGTGAAAGAATTCGGTGGGATTCACTCAATTCTGATGTCAATCCTGATCCATATGGCTATTTGGATGCATATAATAAGAATGATATCCAGTTGATATGCTGTCAAGCCGATGCTAGTACATTGTGGCTTGTTCCACTTGTTGTTCGGGCCAGATTGATTGAGTCCCTTGAACGGTATACCAACATGGAAATTTTTTTCACCTGGATACTTTCAAGGGACAGGCCAAAAGGGAAAGAAGTTGTGAAATATGAAAAGGCTGTTGATCCTCAATATCTTCCAATGCAGTCTGATGTTCTGAAGGTTCTTAATGGCTCTTTGAACAGCTTTAGGATTTATAATGTTTATCCAAGATATTTTCGTGTCACTGGTTCAGGTGACGTTAGACCTTTCGAAGAGGTAATCCTATCTGAGCACTTTAGTTGCTACTCTTAACTTTGTGTTTTTTCCATTAAGTATTGGTTGCATGTTTTGAGAAGATAATGGCATATTCGGCATTCCATGGGTGACCGGGTAGAAGCTAATCATCTTTGTTATCTACTGCTGTAATCTTTCTAATAACATAGGAACCTTTCCTTCAGTCTGACTTAGGAATTACTAAAATTTTGAAATTAAAGTGATAATCATGAAGAGGGAGGAGAGGTGGTGTTCATGTCTCAGATTATTGTAATAATTTTATATGTTTTGCATCATAATTCTCCTGAATTACTTTTAGAAAATTCGAAATCAATTTTTCAGGATAGAGCTGTTAGTGCTGATCTCATTTTAAATCGCGAGCAATTTGAGTGGTGGGCCTTCCAAGATATTAATCCATCAAATTTAAGTGGATTTTGTGGAGGTCTGACAGGACCTATGGCAATCATAATATCCGAGGAGACACCACCACGTAAGTTGTCCAGGGCATTATTTATTTATTTTTTTGAAAATAAATGTCCATGGTTCATTTTTGTGCCTGGCAATACCTTGTATAATGTCTCTAATTTTATAATACTGCTACAGAGGGTATTCTTGGTGACACACTCAGCAAGTTCAGCATATGGGGACTTTACATAACCTTTGTTCTAGCTGTCGGTCGTTTTATCAGACTCCAGTGCTCCGACTTAAGGATGAGGATTCCCTTCGAGAACCTACCTTCCTGTGACAGGTACTGCAGATTTCTTTCCTGAAGATGGCAGTACAAATGACAAAAAATTCCCCCATCCTTCCCTCGAGAATTTGTCAAGCCAATTAACCATTACTGATGTCTCTGAAGTCGTGTTCTTTAAGATACATTCTGTTTTAACTTCAATCACTTCTTTTTGCATGCTTCTCATGTAGGTTAATAGCCATCTGCGAGGATATATATGCTGCAAGAGCTGAGGGTGAGCTTGGAGTTGAAGAGGTCCTTTACTGGACACTAGTGAAGATATATCGGTCCCCGCACATGCTGCTTGAGTACACCAAACCTGATTAACACTTTCGGGGTTGAGTACTACTGGTTACCAACAGCTAACTGGGCTTAATAGCCACACATATAATTTGACTGCCACGCATATTGAACGAGTGACACCCAACCATTTTTGGTCGGAGCTCCGAGTAGTTAGGACGCAGGATGATGCCCCCATGATAAGATTAAACCAATATTGCAACATTTTTTGTGCGGCAATCGTTAGAGGGTTATGAAGCATTTCTCTGAGAAGATTGGCGAGGACTGCATCGCGACTCATGACTGTAATTATTCATGATACTGATTTTAATGATTGTTTTTGGGCAAATCATGTATCCAATGTACAATGCAGTCAATGCCAGAGTTATAGTGAAGCAAATATGTACAGTTGTTGACCAAGAAGAGCGATGTCTCTGCCCCTTCTCTCACCTTCTTTCATTCATAAAACAGCAAGATTAATTCGACCGAAAATTTAAATGGAAATTAGAATGTCCGTTTCATAGTAACATGACTATTTAACAAAATCACATGCTTATCTTTTCAATATTAACCATTAATAGAAGTTGCAAATAAATTAACAATAATATATATACAGCTATCTAGTGAGTTTTCATGTAATTTTTCATTTTCCCTAATCACACTTCAATTACAAAAGATTAATTCAGTTGTTCTCAAATTTACTTATTGTTCCCTTCAGCATTGATCATAGCCTTTTCAATATTAGATCATTAATAGACGTGGTAAAAGTAATTAACATTGGTGTTCATCTTGCAGCTCTTTTATGTTTTTTTCATTTTACTATTGAATTATAAGTAAACGCAAATGCAATAGTTCTCAACAGATCAGTCTTATTCTTCATTTGATATTTTAAACAATTAATAATAGTTTTTATTTGATAGGACAAGTTTCAAATAACTATATGAATTTGGACATTTGGCCATTTACTCATTCAACAAATTTTGACAATTGAATTGGTTCCACCAAAATAAAAATAAAAATTTGACAATTGATGACTTAAAATTTTAATTAGATACACAACTCCTTTTATTATGCCAGAGATTTTAAATCCAAACCAACATAATTGTCCCATAATTCAATTTTCCCACTCACCCGTTGAATCAATCTCCACCAAAATTTCTCTCAATCAATCACTTTCCATATTGTCTAAATATCGGGTAGTGACGTAGTTAATTTAAATAAAATGTATCGAATGACATAAGAGGTAAACGAGTATGAGAGATTTTAATTGCTTTAGATGTGAAATAGCTAGTGCTAATGTTGTACGTACTATCATGAAAGTATTTCTCCTTAATGTCAAACAATGAAATATAATTGCATTGCGTTGGATTTTTTGAGCTCCATTATATAGATCTACGAGTATGAGAGATTTTAATTGCTTTAGATGTGAAATAGCTAGTGCTAATGCATTGCGTTGTACGTATTTTGTTGTACTAATAGTTAACATGGTTACCTATATTATGTATAAAATTGTCTTAGTAAACTTGAGTCAATTGTTGAAATGCTTTCACAGGTCTAGACTACATGGCATAAGTGGGGAGTTTTAAGGAGTAATAGCTATTCGCCACACAAAGATAGAGAGATAATGGAGAATATGGAGTTAATAAAACAACTTAAAAAGAAAGAGAAGCCTGCTGTGAAACAAAACGATAGGAGTACATAGAGATGGAAGGATACAGTAGATACCCTTTGAACAAACAGATAGATCATAGAAGGATACAGTAGATACCCTTTGAACAAACAGTAGATCATAGAAGGATACAGTAGATAGCCTTTGAACAAAACTTGATCGGTTTTACCTAACACAGTCTCTAGAGTTAATATCTAACAAACCAACCAGAATGACTATCCACAACGCATGCAAACTGGTGATGATATTTCTCAAATCTCATCTTTGGCTATCTTAAGTTTTTTGTTAGCAGAACCCTTCAGCTCAACAATCTCTGGGATAGTGTCTTGCATTATCTTTGGGGATGAAAAATCAAAATCAGAAACAGACACACCTTTGTATTCTGGATGATCTTTAAGAAATGCTGCTATCTCATTGCGGGTTCTAAGTTTTTTCCCGACAGGTGTGATGTAGTAAGCATCCAATTTAGAGTAATCTCTTCTAAGTACCAAGCTTCTCCTAAAACCTTGTGGAGTCTTTGGGAGGTTAGGCTTGTCAATGACCCATGTCCGTGTGCAATCATATTCAATATCAGCAGGGTCATCGCAGGAACGATTAGCCTTTCTGCTGCAATAAAAAGGTTCCTGAATGACTTTATGTCTAATCTCTTCAAACTCCTCCTGTGTATCAATCACCCTCCATTTCAAGCAACTTGTGCACTGTGCAGCGTATACATCAATTGAACCCTGACTTAGCTGTGATCTCTGCCAGCAGTTTAGAAAGCAGCACAAGTTCAACTATTTGATTAAACCCAATAAAGAACAGCCTGGTACTATAAAGCTCCTATGTGTTAGACAGCCTTATCTTGCATTTACAACAGACTGATTACATGAATAGAATGTGACCTTCAGGTCACATGGCGACAACACCAACTATTGTGACATGGTTCCCTTTGCTGGATCCAATCTTTGCTGGATCCAATGCATTAGATTAAACCCAACAACGACTTAGTACAAACTTGCATCTCAATTTCTAATCAATGAACTTACCCTCTGTGTGTGTGTGTTAGGTTCCTTCCTTTCTATGGCAAAAGCTGATATTAACCACCCACAGGTAACAGCAGCAAAGCAATTTAAACACAATAAGGCATTATGAATGAACCCATTCAAAACAGTAAATTAACACATCTTAACCACAATACAGTGTGACATTCATTTTTATTTTTATTTTTTAAATGCATAACCATGACAGACCACATAATAAGATCCACCCACAAGGGCATACAATACCATTGACCAAAAAAAGAAAAAAATAATTATTTATCATGATTCCATGAAAACTGAAGAAGAATGAATCAAGCGACAGAGATCGAAAGTTGGGGATCCCGTGTGCGGAAAACCCTAAAAATTAAGGATTTGAAATCAAAATTGAAAAGAGGAATTGGGTTCCGAAACAAATGATACCTTAGAAGAGGATGGCGTTTTTGAGATTTCTTGGCCGCCCTTCATTCATTCAGCTAAGTTTCTTCACTCCTCTATCAACCAAACTATTCTTTCCAGTTCACCCCCATGCCCTATGGGTATATATTTAAATATCTTTGAGGATTAAGTAAATAAAATATATATGATAATTATTTTTCATATATGATATATATAATTATTTTTTACCCAGGTGAGTCCACACACGCCTACGTGCACACGCACGTGCACGTGCACACCGCGTATATATATATATATATATATATATATATATATATATATATAATATAATATAATATAATATGCGAAGGTTATGAAGCACCGACACTTCAAAAATCCTGACGTGTCGTGTCTGATATTGCCCGACACTCCTCGACATTCCGACATTCTCTGACACTTCAACACGCGTTGTAAAAACTCAAAAAATGGTTCAAAGGTTGCGTTGCCGTGCATTTTTAGTTCTAACTATTAGATTTATTAGATTACGATTACCATTTTATTAAGTCTAATATAACTATTTGAGATATCTTATGTTTCTTTGCAAAATTGATGGTATTATAGGTTTAATTTCATTTTATTGTTAAATTATTGAATATTAAATATAATATACATTACATAAATTAAAAATATTATTTAATATTAAAACGTGTCCTAATGTGTCGAAATCTAACATTTTTTAGAATTAACGTGTCGGAGTGTCGTGTAATATTATTCTCCGACACTGCAACACGCGTTGTAAAAACTCAAAAAATGGTTCAAAGGTTGCGTTGCCGTGCATTTTTAGTTCTAACTATTAGATTTATTAGATTACGATTACCATTTTATTGAGTCTAATATAACTATTTGAGATATCTTATGCTTCTTTGCAAAATTAATGGTATTATAGGTTTACTTTCATTTTATTGTTAAATTATTGAATATTAAATGTAATATCCATTACATAAATTAAAAATATTATTTAATATCAAAACGTGTCCTAACGTGTCGAAATCTAACATTTTTTAGAATTAACGTGTCGGAGTGTCGTGTCGTGCCGTGTCACATATCCGTATCCGTGCTACATAGTGCGGAGGAAATATAAATATCTTAATTAAGTAGCATAAGATATTTTATCCAAATTTATACATAAAAGATTCTGAAATAATTACATGAATATATTAATGGGCAGAGATTAAAAAGTAAAAAAACCATTGCTAGATTTATGTAATAATTTATGTAAGTTTTTTATTATGAATATCTTAATTAAATAGCGTAAGATATTTTATCCAAATTTATACATAAAAAACTCTAAAATAATACATGAATCTATTAATGGGCAGAGATAACAAAGTAAAAAAATCATTGCTAGATTTATGTAATAATTTGTGTAAATTTTTTATTATGAATATCTTAATTAAGTAGCATAAGATATTTTGTCCAAATTTATACATAAAATATTCTGAAATAATTACATGAATTTATTAATGGGCATAGATTAAAAAGTAAGAAAATCATTGCTAGATTTATGTAATAATTTGTGCAAACTTTTTATTATGAATATCTTAATTAAGTAGCATAAGATATTTTATCCAAATTTATACATAAATATTCTGAAATAATTACATGAATCTATTAATGGGCAGAGATTGAAAAGTAAGAAAATCATTGTCAGATTTATGTAATAATTTGTGTAAATTTTTTATTATGAATATCTTAATTGAGTAGCATAAGACATTTTATCCAAATTTATACATAAAAGATTCTGAAATAATTACATGAATCTTTTTTTTTTTGGTAAACATAATTACATGAATCTATTGATGGGCATAGATTAAAATGTAAGAAAATCATTGTTAGATTTATGTAATAATTTTAGTAAATTTTTTATTATGAATATTTTAATTAAGTAGCATAAGATATTTTATCCAAATTTATACATAAATGATTCTGAAATAATACATAAATCTATTAATGGGCAGAGATTAAAAAGTAAGAAAATCATTGCTAGATTTATGTAATAGTTTGTTGAGATATATTGTCACATCATTTATTAAATTTAATGAAATACATGAAATATTATATTTAAAATTAAAGTGTTGCTTTGTTTGCATAGATATATTGTTTCATTTGAAATCAAAATAATGAAGATTGTGTTTTTTTTTAAAAAAAAAACAAAAAGTTTAAGTGGGGTTAGAGTCGGTATCCCACTGCCACTAGGATTAAAAAAGACTCCAACCTCTTTGAAAATTTTCGAGAAAAATTACATATCACTCATTAATAAAGTTCTTACATCGATCAACAATGTTTGAAACTTTTTTGTTTTTGTTTTTGTTTTTGGTAAGCACCTAGACGGAAAACTTAAGTTGTACAAAACTTAAAGTTACAATATCATTATCTTTTATTTTATTAGTATTTTATAAGTCATTTAAAATAACTTTAGCGTTGTTTACCAAAAAAAAAAAAAAATAACCTTTGCATTGAATTCCAAATTAAATATAGAGATATGGTTAATTTGGCTATGACAATTTTATGACATCCCACAACACTTTTTTCTTCCATCTCCTTGGAATCTCTTACAATATCATTATTTTTTATTGTATTGATATTTTATAACTCATTTAAATTAACTTTACTGTTGTTTATCAAAAAAATAAAATAACCTTTGTATTGAATTCCAAATTAAATATAGAGATATTGTTCAATTTGGCTATGACAAATTTATGGCATCTCATGACTCTTTTTTCTTCCATCTCCTTGGAATCTGAATACGTTTTTAAATGATTTCATTCCAAAAATTTTATTACACTCCTTTTTCTTTTTTAAGCTTATCTTTAAAACTGGCTTAATTTAAGTTGAATTAAGTTGAAATGTTCAACTTTTTTTTTATTTCAAAAATTTTCAAGACTAAACCAAGAGCATAATTAAAAAAATTTCTAATATTGTTTTATATCATCAAGAAATGAGATTATAACAACCACCAATCATGCAAATCAATTGGCAAATCATAAGTGCTTGTGCCTACTTAATCAGTAATCTCGAATTCGAATTCTTAGCAATGTAGCTATATTAAAACTTAGTATGAAAAACTTTGCCGCTAATATGTTCATACCTGAATAATATTTAATATGAGGCAATGTTTCTTATACATTAACTCCTTATACGATAATCACAGAAATATTTTTAGGAATTATTATTAGTTATTAATATATAAATAAATGATTGAGATTTAATACATGTCAATATTAAAAATAAAAATAAGGGGTAAAATCCCAAAGTTATTCCATCAAAAATTCACAATTTATTAAATAAATTATAAAATTAAGTAACACATATTCCATTAATGAAGTTGTATAACATATTATTATTTGTATTAAGATAAATATTATTAACATACTTTCTTAACACACTTTATATTATTAATTGAATTTTATGTGAGTTTCATTAAATATTTTTAGCACATTCTCCATTTAATGGAACCACATAAAATTCACTTAATAATAAAAAATTTATATAAAAGTGTGTTAAACAATAAAATGAGTTCTCTTATGTTACAATTTTATGCACTCTTGTTAAGATGAAACTTCCGTATTTATTTTTCTCTTTACAAATATATGAAGTTATATTAAAATTTGTGAATATTTATAAATATAGTAATAGACATAAAATTGTATATATTAAAATCATATGAATTTTTCAACATGAAAGTACCATTTCCTTTTAAAAAAGTATTATTAACATTTTTTATACTTAATGTTATTTATTTATTTAAAAAGAATAAAAATATATATTACTACACTCACGTGATGATCATAATTCATAAATGGAAATAAGGTGTGAGTGAGAAAGCGCCACACACACAAAGAAATAAGATAATAATGAGATAAGTCAATGAAGTATTTTTTAAAGCATTTAAAAAAAGATTTCATGTAATAAATGAATGAAAATTAACTCTTTATTTATAGAGTAAAGTCTGTTTTGGGTCCTTAACAAAAAATACGGTCCCACTTCGTTCCTTACAAAAACAAATACCCATATTAGTCTTTTTTTAGGGACTAATTTGGATCTTCGTTAAATTTCTGAGGGAGTGAGAGAGCGCCACACACACAAAGAAATAAGATAATAATGAGATAAGCCAATGAAGTATGTTTTTTTAAAGCATTTAAAAAAAGATTTCATGTAATAAATGAATGAAAATTAACTCTTTATTTATAGAGTAAAGTCTGTTTTGGGTCCTTAACAAAAAATACGGTCCCACTTCGTTCCTTACAAAAAACAATACCCATATTAGTCTTTTTTTAGGGACTAATTTGGATTTTCATTAAATTTCTGAGGGACCACATTTTCAAAGAACTGGAATTGTAGAGAGACCAAAAGTTGACTTTTTTTATAAGGGATGAAAGTGGAGATCATATTTTTTGTTAGTGACCCAAAAGGGACTTTACTTTTATTTATTTCTCCTATTATAATTAATTTTTCTCTTATGGTCTAGTAACTGATAACTAATGACTCGATTAAACTTAGTAGTGATAGTTTTGCCGCCCTTATGGTTCTTCTCAGCTTGATTGAACTAGTTGAGTAATTTATGAACCGATGAAGAAAGAATAATGAGAAAACACTAAAGCAACTAATTTTCAGGTCACTCTCATTATCACACTCCACTATATATAACAAGTTGGTTATAATAGAATTAATTACATCAATTTACAAAAGGAAAATTCATATTGTAGCAAAAAAATTACAAAAATAATGAGAAAACACTAAAGCAACTAATTTTCAGGTTTAAGATGATGCCAAATACACTTGGTTTATTAAGTTTGATAAGCATCCATATAAGTGGGCCTTTCTATGATCCATCTAGTCCCTTGTGCTATCTCTGAGGCTGCAAGGAGTGGGCCTTTATCGTGGGTAGGTTTGCAACAGCCCACCCCTATAAAGACCACCTTGCGCACAAGATTAGGTTCGGTTGCTACTTTAGGAACTATCATATTGGACACGTCTTCATTGTTACTTGTCCTTTACACACAATGAACGTTACGCCCCACTTACATGCCTTGAATGAAACGGCCCATTTGAACACATTGATTGCCTTCCTTGTTTGGCATGCGAATAGGTTCAAGAAAGTAATCGTTGTCA